CTCTTTAAACAATTATAACTCTATCAATATTTGTGTAACAAAAAAATAATAAAAAATTAGTCAGAAAAAACCCTTGAATTTCAGATATATAATGAGAAATTGGTTGTTTTTTTAATGGATTTTTTTCATGAAATCATGAGTTTTTTGAAAATCGTTTGTACTAAAGTTTGATGGTATTTTCTTGAATCCATCAAGATCTCTTAAGGGGTTAGGGGTACTTGGAATTTTTGAAAAATCGATTTTTATTTTTTTGCATTTTCATTAAGTGTAATATCTTGAAAATGCACTCTGAAAATTTCAAGTTGATCCGATGATTACTTTTTGAGTTATTGGACTCTTACCAGCGCGTTGACGCAAGTGGAAAGCTCGATACTTATACTCAAGATTATTCTCCCTCACCTCATGATGTTTTAAAAGCTTTTAAACCGATTTACGATGATCTCAGCAATGATAATTTACTTTCAAGATGTGTAGTTCAAGATTGAATCCATAATCAGAAAAAATTGACAACTCCAACTAACTAGTGTAAAAAATATGCCTAAAAACCGTGAATACTATCGTACAAATTTCTACTATCGTACAAATTGCTGAATACATATACATAATCATTATTATTGATTATGGATACCCTAGGACCTAATTGTGGCTATAATTCCCATTAGTATGCTGAAAAATTCGATGCTGCACGTGTGAAAGTGGCAGATCAGCGCGCCAACGAGAACACTCCGGGAGGCCAGAATGCTTCGTAGGCAACAGCAAATGGAAATTTTGGAAATTTGCACAATGACTGATGAACTATTATATGGTCCAGAAATAGATGACTCGGTTTAAGTAATTCAATAATTCGAATTTCTGTACGTAAATCCAATGTAAAACTTTAAACGCGTTTTTCTCAAAACTATGTTTTTTGAACCGGTGACCACTGTAACTCAAAAACCGCTTAGTAAATTTTAATGAAATTTATACAGCTCTTAGAATACATAATAAACTCGGGCCTGATTGAAAGATTTTTATTTTTTCAAAAATTTCAATTTTTTAAGACCATTTAACTGTTGATTTTTTACCCGAAAATCTAGATTTTTTTTTCTGATGCTGCCATTCTGTTAATTTTTGCAAAAAAAGAAAACCTTTGATCAGGCCCCGGATTATCTATTTATAAAACTATTTTTTTTATTAGATTGATTTTAGATGAATCTCTAAGGAGTTATGGTGGTCACCGCCAGGACCGTTTTCTAAAACAGGGTCAACAAAAACAGCTATAACTTTGGGAATATTTATTTTATTTTTCTGAAATCTTTGTTACTTCAAGTCAAAATATTGTATAATAATACCGTATTAATATTTTTGTAAAAAAACATCGTTTAATAACAAAAAAAATACACAAATTGCTCATTTTTTTGTGCCTCCAAGTATCCCTAACCCCTTAAACCCAGTTAATTCTAGATGGAATACGATATTATTTATTATTAATATTTTTAATTTTGGTGGAAATGGCACTCATAAACTATTTGATTCAAATGAAATTGTATGCGTCTTTTATTTGCATGATAGCTCACTCATTTTACATGCAGAAATACTCATTTTAAAGCTTATTTTGAGGACTATAAAACTCCATTTCATATTTAGCTTAATATTGTTACTAGAACACTATAAAACAGTGATTTATTAAGATATTAATTTATATAATTTTGGTCATTTCATTATTTTTGTTAAAATGTATATTTCTGAAGATATTAGTAAACAACGCTTTTAATTTTTCTTTAACGTTTAGTTAAACAATAATAATCTGTCGAATTGAATTTTAATATAGGGTATGTGATTACATTGAACTGACATTTCACAACCGTCAGACGCATGCGCAGAACTGCATCACTTGTCAAACGCATGTTGACTCTATTTTATTATATTATTTTAATTTTTGGCACATCTCAGCTGCTTTTCGGCATTAATAATATAGACATTAGATTTTCCTTATTTATAATCATGAATTTTTTATATTTTAATATTGCCTTAGCCTATAAGTGAATAGAAATGTTTGGCAAATGACAGACTTCATTTGTTTTTAACGTGAAACTGAGCTTCAAATATTTTCAAGGGCAAACAATGATAAGCGATTTTTTTGTATTTTTGTCCATTTATTTTTACAATCTAACTATATTTCTATAAATCTAAATATTCTAGAAAATTTCCCGAACAAACTTCATGAAAGGAAGATTCATGAAAATCCGAATTATAGTTTAGGAGGATTAATCATTCATACATAGTTACAGAAGAATTTTATATATAAGATATATATATATATATATATATATATATATATACTAGATGACCCGACAGACGTTCCACATCTACATTTTTTTTAATATGCTATACTAATATTTACACCATTCAGTTAAAAATAATAATTATTGTTTTTCGAATTACTATTTACACAAATATGAGTGATGTTAAATGTAGAACTGCTTATCTGCCTTGGTAACAACACCCAGAAATTGTTGTTACCAGGGCATATAAAGGTAACATCACGGTTATCATGAACAAAGTTGACTATATTTCCAAATTCAAGTCCCTCCTAGCTGATAACGAACCTATAAATTCAGATCCCACCGACCTTATAAATCGGAATACTTTGAAATTCATTGGTTCACTCATAGAAAGCAAGCAAATTCCCAAACCTCTCTCTCTACAATTAAAAACCTACAAACCCATTTCCTCAAAACCTTATTGTCTTCCCAACATTCACAAAGATGGTTTCCCTCTTCGACCAAAAGTTGCTGACTTAAATTCCCCTCTTGCAAATTATCCAAATTTATTAGTTCAATTTTATCCAATATCACTCATAATTCTCCCCATTTTGTCAAAAATTCTTTCGAACTCATTCCCAAACTTAACTCCCTCAATGTACCATCTGATTTTTCCTTTGTAAGTTTAGATGTTGTTTCCCTTTTCACTAACATTTCACCTGACCTTATTCTCTCTGCCATAGACCATAAATGGGTTGATATCAGCAAACACACAGATTTCAAATTTCTTGGTTTCTAAAATGTATTAAATTCATTACTTCCAATACTTATTTTTCGTTCAACGACTCCTTCTTTAAACAAAAATTTGGCACTCCAATGGGTTCCAGTGTGAGTGCCCCACTTGCTGAACTTTGTATGCAGTTCCTAGAGAACTCTACTCTTAATTAGTGTTAGAAGTATCGAGGCAAAAGATCGATATTGAGTACTTTGAAAAGTATCTAATCAAAATATCGATGCCAAAAAAATATCGTGGCGAAAGTATCGATAGTACTCAATATCGAATTTTGAGTAAAAAAGTATTAGTATTTTGCGTAAAAAAGAATCGAAATATAATTATTTCAAATACAATATAATTAATATAATTGCAAAAATTTTCTTAAATGTGATTCTATGCCGATTTCCGTGTTGATATCGGTATCGTCGCGCATACAACAATGATGCCGGTACGCATACAACGACGGATCTCTATTCACATAAACGACGGCAAATCACAATCGGGAATGAATGAATGAGAAATGATCTCATCGAGAGCGAATGACGAACAGTTCGGGCGTAACGGACTTTCGTTGCATTTATACGGATTTACATCCTAATTGCGCCTAAAGAAGTTTTACTTCAAAAATTCAAGCCGATTTTTATGGACCTTTTTTGGCCATATATATATAATGGTCTTAGAACTTACTGAAATATAACGGCCTTCGAAAAGTATTCTAATTTTAAAAATTCATCACAGTCACAGAAAGTGAGTAGTTTTTTTGACGCTTGTTAAAATTAAAATTAGACGTGTTTCTTGCTATAACGATAGAGTACTAGGTCGTGATGAACATACTGAACCATAAAAGTCCTACGGAAACTGGTTTAATTAACTAAAATTATTGGTTTGTGAAAATTTGTTTTTAGAAAATACTTTGAGTTAACGTTTTCGTTTGTTTTCTATTATGTGTAATAAATCTACTCAGAATACTTGTAATCACTCATAAATTAATTTATTTTTTATTGATTAAGTCGATTATTTACACATATCGGGAACTTCATGTAACTTGCCTCAAGGCAAAATACCAATACCAACTAGTTTAAATTGTTGTCTATTATAACTGGGAATATATCCCCTTTGATCGATTCCAAATGTAGATTATTAATTTAAATAAAATAAATACAAAAAATAATATAATTTAGAAAATGTTTTACAAATACCAATGAGTATATAATTATACAAATAAGTTCTTTCGAGCACCGAGTTTGAAAAAAATATGATTTGCAAAGTGTGCTATAACGACAAAAAATGCATTTTCGTAACATTGTAAAAAAGTTGATACTTTGAATTAGTAATTACACTTGCAACCCGTTTAATAACGGTGTGTATGAATAAAACTACAAATAAAACTACTTACTACACTTAAAAAATATTTATCTAGAACACCCTATTAAATTTAATTGAACATACTTTCAAAACCATTTGACATTGCGCTCCTACAAAAAATATTAAAGTAAAAATGTAAATTTTCTATGCGATTTTGAAATAATTTTTCGCCTTTTGCACAATCTTGAAATTAGCACAAATTTTTCGAGACTAAGACTGGCCAAATCCCTTTAGCCGTTTTAAAGCCTTATAATACCTAACATTTTACCGAGATCCATTTTTATATATAAGATATATAAGGGGTGTTATACGGCGTAACGGTTAGTCGTATTGCCTTGGGTCGATAGTCTTAAGGCTCCGCTCTGTAACTGACATCAATTTTCACTTGAAAATATTAGATTAAAAATATGTTTCCAATTGAACATAGCCCATTTAGAGCTTAGCTCAGCTCACAAACCTGCTCAAGGGTAATTACATTCGTAATAACTCTCTTCACAATAATTATTTGAGCACATATTAGTAAAAAAGTGGCATATTATTTTGTTTTGAACATTTCAAAATTTGTGGAATAATTTGAAAGTGAAATTATTAAAATGTGTTACGCTTAAATGTTTCAGACGATTGACCAGCTTACACCCGAAGAGAAATGGAGGTAAAAACATAATTATTGTTAATTATACTATTATTTTTATTGACCTTACTACTGCATAGTACTTACAGATTTTCTGCATATTTATTCTAGACATATTAATTTAATTATATGTTGATATTTTGAAAAAATCGAAAAAATATTTTATTATTATACAAATTATAGAATTGAAAAAAGTTAAATTATCATTGTTTCTTCTATTTTTAGATATGAGCATCAAAAATTGCATCAAAAACATGCCGGTCATGAATCTATGCATGCTGAAATGATCTTTATTTTGATTGCAACTGTAGTTATTTCTCAAATCTGTTTAATTGAATGGAAAAAGAGACATTATCACAGCTATTCTGTGAGTTCTACAAATGTTTCTGAAACTATATTTAATTTATATCTTAGCTCTATAGCCTTATTTTCATTTGATATTTTCTAGTTTGTCACCTTATTGGGTATGTGGACCATTCCCTTTGGAATAAGTTTATATAGTCTATGGTGGAGATTTATTTTTTTTTGGTTAATATTTTCTTGCATTACTGGCTTCATAGGAATTCGTGCATTGCAAAGTCCTATACAAGGAACGACACCAAGGTGTGTATTATATATATATATATATATATATATATATATATTACATAAGAAATTTCTTATGTAATATTTAGCATCCTAATTTTGGCTACTGTACAGCCGCGTTTTTATATTTAAGTTTTTGTTTTTTATTTATTTTTAAGTTAGGCCATTTTTTCATCTTTATTTTTATCAATTGTTTGTATGTTCACAGTTATTGTTAGTTTTAACTTAAGATTGTTCTACTTTGTACGCTCTAACATTCATACCACTTGCTTGTTATCCTGTCACCAATTTTTTACTTTCTTTAAATTTATTTTTTTTTAGCTACTCTTTTCCTTTAACGAGCATTATGAAACCCACACAGGCTACTTGTAATAAAAAAATTTTTATACAAGAGAATTGTATCACCAATGACATCCTCCCTAATCCTTCCTTTTATAATTTCATCAATAAACATTATGGTTCTTACATCCTTTCAGAATTTAAGGTATTAGCTAAACTAAACTTCAACTTTCTACCTATCAATAAACAGATCTTTCTTATCAGATGCAGGAAAGAAGGTATCATACCTAATTTTTATCGCCTAAATTTTACAAAATTTTCTCATCTGAATAATTCTCTTAACAACAAGTTTTCTAAACTTAGTTTACATATATATATATATATATATATATATATATATCTTATATATAAAATTCTTCTGTAAGTTTATATGAATGGTTAATCCTCCTAAACTATAATTCGGATTTTCATGAATTTACTTGAAGTTTGTTCGGGAAATTTTCTAGAATTTTTTTATATTCATAGAAATTTAGTAAGATTGTAGAAATAAATGGAAAAAATTACAAAAAAACGCTTATCATTGTTTGACCTTGAAAATATTTAAGGCATGGTTTGACATTAAAAACAATTGAAGACTGTCATTTGCCAAACATTTCCATTCACTTATAAGCTAAGGCAATATTAAAATATAATAAATTCACGATTATAAGTAAGGAAAATGACATTTTTTTTCAGTGGTGTAATTTTACATTTTTGACAATTGGGTATCGATTAAAGAACTAATTATAAGAAAAAAATGTTCAATAATGTTTTTCAAAAAAGCAAATACTTTTCAAGTTACTGGCTACTGAAAATTTGTTTCTTTTTTGCGTTTTTCATCATATTTTGCTAATATAATTAAAAATAATCGTATTCCATCTAGAATTAACTTGGTTTAAGAGATCTTGATGGATTCTAGAAAATACCAGAACTTTAGTGCAAACGATTTTCAAAAAACTCATGATTTCACGAAAAAAAACATTTAAAAAAACAACCAATTTCTCATTATAATATCTCTGAAAAAATACGTATAAAAGTATATATATATATATATATATATATATGTATATATATATATATATATGTATATATATATATATATATATATATATATATATATATATATGAAAATTCGAGGTATTTTTCTGACTAATTATTGTTGTTTATTATTTTTCTGTTACGCAAATATTGATAGAGGTATGATTAATTAAGGAGTGCGCGGCTGTCCAACCAGAGGTTTTTCGAGCCCTTTAACCCTTCGCCGTTTCACAACAAGAGAAGTTACGGTAAAATTTATGATAGAGAAAGTTGTAGCGCATTTAAACACCTTTAAAATAGTATATTACAAGTTTTGATAAATTCAGAATTAAAAGAGTAATAATCGAATTGATGCGGTGGATGGTGACGGAGTGCAAATTGTTTTCACTTCTGAACTTAAGATAAAGATTAGCCTATTTCCAAAATATCGAGTAAATTGGAGCACAGTAAAAAAAATTACAGAGCAATAATTTTTGTGGGAATTGAGAATAATCATTTTATTTGAAACAGTTCTACATTCAACATCACTCATATATTAGTGTAAATAGTAATTCGAAAATCAATAATGATTATTTTTACCTGAACGGTATAAATATTAGTATAGGATATTGAAAAAACGTAGATGTGGGTACAGGACAACGTCTGTCGGGTCATCTAGTATATATATATATATATATATATATATATATATACATATATATATATAGATATATGTATCTCGTATATATATATAATATATATTTATATATATATATATATATATTAATTTGGCAATATCAACAAATAACACTCTTTTTTGCACTAATTTATTAAATAATAATTTTCACAAACGTTTCGAGACTAGGTTTGTCTCATCATCAGTGTGTTATAATTTAAAATTTAAAATATGTTAACCTAAATTAGCATTTTGTTATCCATTACAAGTCGCTCGATACACTGTCCTCTGCCACACCAACGGTCGTCGGTGTCCGCATTCTCTAACCACTTGAAAACCACTTGAAATTGAATAGTCACGCGATCAGATAGGTTAGGAAGGATTAGGGTCCAGTTGAAAAGTAGATGTCGTTAGGAGAAAAAATATTCTATGGATGAGATGGTTTGTTTATAAGATTTGTTTTAAATTGTTTAAATTGTTTTTTATTTTTGTTTATTAATTGTTTAAACTGTGAAGTTATAGTGTATATGGACGATTTATTAATCGCCACAAAAACAATTGAGGAGAATATTGAAGTGTTGCATAGGGTGTTAAAAGTGATTAGTAGAAATAAGCTAGAATTAAAATTAAATAAGTGTAGTTTTGTGTTTAGAATCATTGATTATTTAGGTTACCATATAGACGTGAACGGCATAAGGCCGAGTGATGCAAACATTGAGACGATTGTAGATATACCCATTCCAAAGACATTCAGACAGTTAAGGAGCTTTATAGGCCTAGCCAGTTATTTACGCAAGTTTATTAAGGATTTTAGTGTTAAATGTGAGCCATTGTATGATTTGTGCAAGAACGGTGAAAACTATGTGATCGACGGTGATGTAGTGGAAGCCATAAACAATATTAAGAATGAATTAGTGAATAAACCAGCGATTTACTCACCGAGCGCGATAACAGAACTACATACAGATGGTAGTGCGAAGGGTTATGGAGCAGTACTTGTGTAAGAGCAGTACTTGTACGGGAAATGGCACCCAGTCTGCTACTATGGCAAGAGATCCACGTTGTCGGAGTCTAAGCTACACAGTTTCGAATTGGAGATGTTAGCTATAGTAAATGCCTTGCAAAGATTTCATGTCTATTCATTTGGAATTTATTTTAATTTGGTAACCGATTGTAACAGCTTGAAGCTGGCTCTACAGAAGAAGGAAATAAATCCAAAATTATTGAGGTGGTCGCTAGTATTGTCGAATTATGATTATGAGCTAGAGCATCGCGCAGCAGCAAGGATGCAGCACGTCGATGCACTTAGCAGGTGCCATGAACTACTAGTAATCGACCGAGTTCTGGCAATAAGACAAGGCCAGGATACGCTGATTAGACGAATTCGAGATGGTTTGGAGAGAGAACAGCACCAGCTGTATGAACTTAGGGTCGGATTAGTGTACAAAAAGTTCAAGGAGAGACTTTTATTTTTGGTGCCGTCATTAATGGTAGAAGAGGTGTCCAGATTAATGCACGAACAGCTAGGGCATGCGGGCGTAGAAAGGACGGCGATGACACTGAGGAAACAATATCGGTTCAACAATATGAACCAGATAGTAAATGAGGTTATACATAAATGCTTGAAGTGTATCGCCTTTTCAAGCTGGAAGGGTGAGTCTCGAGGAAAGTTACACAATATCCCAAAGGGTGTGCTGCCTTTCAAGACAATTCATGTGGATCATTTGGGTTCACTACAGAAAACTAGAAAGGGTAATAAACACATTTTGGTGGTGATAGACGCGTTCACAAAATATTGCAAATTATACCCATGCAAAACCACATCAGCAAAGGAGGTAGTTTGCTGGTTGACCCAGTATTTTGAGTATTATAGCGTGCCGACTACCATAGTCGCAGACAGAGGGAGTTGCTATACGTCTAATCTCCTTAGGACATTTTTAGAGGGGAGAGACGTAAAAATAGTGCAGATAGCTGCAGGAGCCCCTTGGGCGAATGGGCAGGTGGAAAGAGCAAACCGAACAATCGTTCCAATATTGGCGAAATACACAGAAGATTTAAGCAGTTGGGACGCAGTCCTGGATAAGGTAGAATACGCCTTGATTAATGCGGTGTGTAAGAGCACGGGTGAGACCCTCAGTATTCTATTATTCGGAGTGACACAACGGGAAGAAGTGAGGGTTGAGTCCTATGACAAGGACGAAATTAGAAAGCAGGCAGCCCAAACGATAGAACGGGGGCAAGATTATAATAAAAGATACCATGATAAGCGCAGTAAGGAAGCGGAGAAGTATAAGATTGGAGATATGGTAATGATCACCAATGTGGACACTACTATTGGTGAACAAGAAATTGTTACCAAAGTATAAGGGACCATATTTAGTTAAGAAGGTGTTGGACCATGAGCTAATAATACTGGAGTAAATCTAGTTTAAAATATATATCTTATATATAAAATTCTTCTGTAACTGTGTATGAATGGTTAATCCTCCTAAACTATAATTCAGATTTTCATGAATCTAATGAAGTTTGTTTGGAAAATTTTCTAGAATTTTTAGATTCATAGAAATATAATTAGATTGTAGAAATAAATAGAAAAAATTACAAAAAACCGCTTATCATTGTTTGCCCTTGAAAATATTTAAGGCATGTTTGACATTAAAACAAATGAAGACTGTCATTTGCCAAACATTTCCATTCACTTCTAGGCTAAGACAATATTAAAATATAATATATTTATGATTATGAATAAGAAAAATGTAATGACCACATTATTATTGCCGAAAAGCAGCTGAGATGTGCCAAAAATAAAAATAATATAAGATTTACAGTCAACATCTGGCAGGTGATGCAGTCTGTGCATGCGTCTGTCAGTGATCGCACATCAAATTTAGCCTATAATTCACTTTGACTGATTATTATTTTTTAACTTTTAAATGCAGTCGTGTTTTGCCTTACTTTACTATATCACGATACAAAAATAATTTACTTATTCAAACAATTATTTAGA